ATGAGAGGCAACCACACATTGATATTTCTCTCCCTCTCTCCTTCCCTTCCCCTCTCTCTGAAAATAAATAAATAAATAAATTTTTAAAACAAGATTTTAAATTAATTTACATACATTTAAATTCAAGTAGCCATATGTGGCTAATGGTTACTGAATCCTAGACACAGGTCTAAAGTCCCCAGATGCAGGAAGAGGGGCTGGGTTCAGTGAGTAGCCCCTCGTGTGTGGAGGAGGCAGAATCAGCAGGTCTGAAGGCTCCAGGCAGAAGGTGTGGGGCTGAGGAGAGGCTCTTGTCCGATTAGAAAGTCTTACCCTGGTGCCCATGGAAGGATTTCAGGGGGCTGCAAAAGATTGAAAAGGCTACTAGAATTGTGTATGTACATTCATGCATTTGTCTGGAGAGAGAACCTTGCTTTCATTAGAAGCATAAAAGCATCCTTGATCCCCAAAGTAAAATAAGATAAAATAACCCATTGATCTGTCAGATAAAACTTAACTTCTTCAAGAGAAACCTGTCCTGATCCAAAAGGATAAGGTTTTCCTACAATATGTGTATGGTACCTTTCTTTGTACCATTTGGAAGGGCATAAAAGAATACACACATGTGTATGTATATGTATATGTATATGTATATGCACACACACACACAATCTGCCTTCCCTCACTAAGCTAGAAGACCCATAAAAGCAGTAATCTGGCCTGCTTTTGCTCATCACTAAATCTCCAAGGCCTGGCCCACTGCCTGGGGCACAGAATGCAGGCTCTTAAGAGCAGATAGACTGAGGTTAGATGAATGGCTGGACAGACAGAATGAAGCAGGCATAAACGAATGAACGAACTAAGAAATAAATTAGGGACATACTTTACCCTGACAACTCTAATGCTCAGAAACAACCAAACTCCCCCCAAACCGGATGCAGGTGTGTGGCTATATCACTCTAGGCTGCTGCCACCAATCAAAGCCACCTGGGCATCTTCGCTGTTCCCCCTTCCAGAAGAATGCTTTCTTCCTCCCAGAGCGCGCCCCCTACATCTCACTCCAGTACTGACTTCATGAACAGTGGACTCGGTTGCTAAAAGTCTACTTTCCCCACGAGATGTGGACCCCATGAGGAGGGGACCGTGTCCTTCTCCACTGAGTGTTCCCCGGCCTGTACCACTTCTGCCCTGCAAAGTGTGGATACGCCGGAGGCCTTAGCACAGGCCGGTCCTCTCTTACCCTGAGCCAGCCTGGCTCATTCCCCTTTACGCTTCCAGCCTCACCACTCACAGCCGCGGCAAGGCTGCCAGAGTTAGCGAGTGGAAACACAGGACACACAATAAAATGCGAATTTTGGATAAACAAGAAAGAACTTTTTTAGCGTAAGTATGTCCCATGCAATATTGGGGGCATACTTACACTAAAAAAAAAGTTATTCATTGTTTATCTAAAATTCAAAACTAATTGAACATCCCATATGTATCTGGTGCCCTAATCACCAGATAAAAAAGAGAGTGATCGGTGGGGGTAGCTGGGGAATCCAAGATAAGGTGGTCTTCCCTGCACAGCCCGAGGGCTCCAGCTAAGTGTGGAATGGGCAGTTAACGGGTTCTCTGTGGCTTCTCACCCCCACACCACAAACAGCTCTCTGATGCTCCACCAGAGTTCGAAGTAGCCTACCGAGGACCCATGCATGTCACGGTCACATCGAAGAGACACTGGCTCTCCTGGAAGCGCGTCCTCCCCCTCTTGCCTCCCTGCTGCCTGCCGCCCTGGCAACACTGGTTGCTGTGGTGTGTGCCTGAGATTTTTCATTCCCTGGGGTCTCCCAAGAGCACCACATGCAGAGCAGGGAAGTCCTGGCAGAAGCTTTGAAAATGACAACCCAGAGTGATGCTTGGTGTCAAATCTTACTTTGCGCATAGGCTGGAAGGGATCAGGGCCACTTGGAATCACTCTGCACATGATTCCAGGTTACATTAGAGAGCTGGGAGCCCAGGGCCTCCTTGTGGTACCCTGACCTCCACCAGGAACAAAAGATACTATTTGAAGAAGGAGAAATTAAGAGGCAAGTGTGGGGAGACCCATGCTGGGGACAGGGAGGGGAGCCAGGGCTCCCTCAGAGGGGTATCCAGGTGCACTGCAATGATCTGGATACTGTGTATAAATCCCCAAACGGTGCCCAAGTAGTACAGATGTGACTGTGAATAATGAGCTGAACCGGTTCAGCTCAGCAGTTCTTCACTGGGAGTTCACAGGGAGGTCTGTGAATACCTGACCCTATAAGTAAAATTGTGCACATGTGCTCTTTTTCAGGGGAGAGCCACCAGAGTCACAAAGGGATCGATGGTCCCCAGAAGGCTCAGAATCATGAGTTGGTAAAGCCAGCTTAGTAGCTTCCTCTAGGCTGACTTAGTCACCCCAGGACTTGCAGGCTTCCAAAATAAGGTTCTGCCCAAAACAGGAGGGGCAAAAATGAGAGGGGCAAAATGATTCTGAGAAGAGCTACCTTAGGCCACACTCGGACTCTCAACCACCCAGTGGCAAGCTCCAGAGAGAGCTGGTGGCGTACAGGACTCTGACCGCTCTGGCCCAGAGCTGCATCTTGCACAGAGTGAAGGTGAGGGAGGGAAACAAGAAAGCCACGCCATACGGGGAGGCACTGAGCCCCAGACCCATTCGGCAGCAGCCCAGCATCCCTGTCACCTGCTAACACCACCAGACAAGCTAGCGGGTAATTCGGTATGGAAATCATGAGTCAGGAAAAAGGTGAATTCGCTCACTGAATCCTCACAACAACCCTCCTGGGTGGGTACTATTTGAATCTTCATTCTACACATGAGAAAGCAGAGCCTAGAGAAGTTTTGGAACCTGTCTGGAGTTGCATGGTGACAGAACCAATGACCAGTCCCAGGCAACATACCCCAGTACCTAAGCTCTAAGCCAACCTCTCAGAAAACGGAGCTCCGTGGGCCACCAGTGGCCAGAGATGGAGTCAGCAATGAATGCCCCGTGTTCTTCTGCTACAGGAGCTGCCATATTCAAATCAGTGACCCTGGCAAATAAGAAAGTTTTCCAAAACGCACACCATGAAGTCATCACGCCATGCATTTTGTAAAATGGGCTCACAAAGATGCTACACTTGGCTCAAAGGTTAAATTCTGAAAACCCATCCCAAACCCTTTCCCAACTGCACCGACAAGGGGCGATGATGCATGCGTACAGGCCTGGCCACGCTCATGGCTAGAGCCAGTATATCACACCAGCCACTCCACGTTCTGTGTCCCCTCCCGACACACAGGAAACGAGCCTTCCAGGCGAGGGAGAAGTGGGGGCAGCAGCATTCCTTCCTTGTGAGACTCTATAACCAGGAAGGGGGCGGGGGAACAGAACAGAAAGGGGGCTAGAAAAAGTTCTGATGTGAGAGTTTCTGCAGACTCTCAGACCCCATCTGGCTCATCAATGAGTCCTTTCAGGGTTCCCTCTCCCCAACTAAGTTATCATTTCCTGTCCAGCACACTACACCCATTGATGGGGTGTCAGCAAATCCCACCAGTTTATGCCGGAAGGACCCAAGGAGGTTGGACAGGAATGGAGGGGGGAAGAGGAAGAAGACAGGAGGGTAAGGAGTGGCTTTCAATCCCCATTCAATGGGATATTCAACCCCGTATTGTTGCATTAAGAGAGGATTTGTAATACAGGAAGCTAGCTCACCTCATAGGTAATGTGATAAGGACAATGGGGCAAAGTCAGGTACTTGGGGGCAAATACGCAGGCCTGGCCTCTCCAAGATGACTCACCACCAAAGACCTGCAAAGGAAGGAACGGGCCTTGGTTGTGAGGGCCAGGGGTGGGTGTCTCTTCTTGGTGTTTGTGTTGGCCTAAACTAGGCTCAGAGACCTGAGGAAGAATCTAGAATCTCTCAGCTTCCCCACACCAGGAAGGGTGGCAGCCTTGTCTGGTGCCTGCCCCATACATAGGGGTGGGCCCCCTAGTGGCCACGTCTGAGCTACAAGACTACCCTAGCCGCACTAATTGGTCCAGAGAGGGCACCTGACCAAGTCGGGTCAATCAGAGTCTTCCCTGGGACTTTTGAATTTGGAAGTGGCAGACACTCAGTCTCTCTGCTGTGGGGAACCACAGATATGAAATTCAGGAGCTGTCGACAGCCAAGTTCCTCAGGATACAAGGTAATGCAAGCTAAAGACAGTGGCCAGAGAGAAGCAGAGAAGACAGAGGGAGAGTAACCTTGGTTTCCGGTGTTCTTGGAGCCACTGTCTCATGTCCCCCCTTCACCATCTGGTCAACTGCATGAGCTTCTCTGGTAGATCCTTTCAACCAAGTCTCCTTTTTGGCTCAGCTAGTATGAGTGTAAAACTATCACTGGTAACCCAAAGAGGCCTAACCAGACTAGCTGGCGTCAAGGGAGGTGTTTGCAATGGGGCTGTGGATTCACATCACCATCCCCATGTGAACTCGCCTGTGTATATCAGAGAGACACACGTACTGTCCACATGTACAAACGGGGCAGCAACAGCCTTATTTGGTGAGACAGACACAGTGGTATGCCCCGTTTGTGTCTGTAGTTCAAGAAATTGCTTATTTTCTGTTTGTCTTTTCTGTGTGTTTGCTTTCCTTTGCCTGCAACGATGTGGTGGCTTGTGCCTCACCCTGGATGGTTATAGACATGTCTGCTCATGCACACAGCACCTGCAGCCATCTTCCTGCCTCTCCGCCCTGTTTTCCTACCAGCCAGGCAAAGAGGGTGACAAAGCAAAACTATTAAGACCATCTGAAGAAGCCAAAAAAGCCCCAATTGTTTGTCTGCAGTGTCCTAAACTGAGCCAAGCCCAGCTTGCCCATCCAAGTTCCCTCGTCTGTCCCTCCGCTCTGACCCAGACACTGGCCCAGAGAGCTGTGTGGGAGGTCTCCAAACCAGTGAGAGCCCGAGAGAGGCCCGCCCACCAGAGACTAGGGCCACAGACGGAATCGGGCACCACTCGAGCGCAGACCGACTCACCTGCAGGTCAAAGAACTTGCTGTACCTCCGGTAGATGGTCTGGGACGTGGAGTCGGACCAGGTCACGTTGATGATGTACACCTGTGGGATAAGAGTAAGCGCAGGTGAGTGGATGACCAGGGCCGGGCTTCAAGCGATGCCAGGCACCATTTAACGTGGCTGGACCATTCTTTTCCTTGTCTCTGCCCCCAGGGCCTAGCACAGGGTCAGGTACACGTGAACGCTACATACGTATGTCTAAATGTACATACACACGTGCATATATAAAAGGGTATTCAATACAATGCTAAGGATTATTTCGGGAGGGTAGGATTACAAGTGGTTTTAATTTCCTCCTTTTAATTTATAGGTACTTTATACAATGAACATAAAATTGGGGTTGTTAAGAAATTTAAGTAGCGAATTTCCACTGGTTCTCAAGCTTCCGGGTGAATGAGATTTTTGCAAGGGGCCTTTCACAATTGCAAGTGTCAGGGCCCTGCCCTCTGAAGTTCTGCATAAGTGAACTTGGGTTTTGGGGGCTCAGACATCTACATTTTATTTCTTTAATTCTATTTTTATATAGTAGTTTTAGGTTCACAGCAAAATTGGGTAGAAAGTACAGAGTTTCCATACGCCCCTCCCCCAACCCCACGAGCACAGCCTCTCCATTATCAGCACCGCCCCAGGGCACATTTATTGCAGCCGGGCATCCACAGTTTGAAGAAGCCACTCCAGGCAATGCTGCCAGAGCTGATTCTCAGAGCTTGCCGGGAACACCACTCAGGAGACCACTGCATCTCAGAAAGGTGTGATTTATCTCCAACCCTAAATCTCAGCTCAGCCCTCAGAAAGTGTTTTACAATAAAAAGGAGATTAAGCATGCAACAGAAATTTAAAACTATTAGAGGCTGTTCAGGTTCCCTTGTGGTGGCAGTTATGCACTGCCCCGGGCACCAGAACGAAGACACTGAAGTGGCCCAAGGGAACAACCCGGCCGACCCAGCAGCAGCAAGGCTGCCAAGGGAACATGTATGACGCCTTCGGTGCCTGTTTGAACTCGTCACAACTCGACTCTGAATATTCGACTGCAGACTTAGAGAACGTTGAGAGCTGGGGTTTTGTACCACCTATACAAAACCATGGTTCATAGGTCCTGGAATTTCCAGAGCCACCTGGACCAGGAGAACAACCCTAAGACAGTTCCCCAACAGAGAAAAGAAGGGACACAATACCAAGGGCAGTGCCTGTCTGACAAACAGACTTCACCCAGATGCCGAGGGTCCGAGGACAGAAATATTTGTTAGTCTCTGTTGATACCTTTTCAGGATGATGGAGACCTGTTCTACTAGAACAGAGAAATACTCAGGGGGAATGAAAGCCCCTCTGAGGGAAATAACTCCTCACTTTGGCCTCTCCGGCAGCATCCAGAGCAGTAATGGGCCTGCTTCTGTTTCAGAAATAGAAGCTCAGTAAATTTTTAAGAATCAAGTGGAGACTCCGCGTGGCATGGAGACCTCAGGCTTCTGGGCAGGTGAGAGGTGAATTGCTCCTTGAAGAAAAATGTAGCCAAACTGTGTTAAGAAACACATCTGCACTGGGATCAAGTTTTATCTTTTGCCCTGCTCCAGATAAGGGTGGTCCCTCAAAGTGGGATTCAATCGAATCCCCATGAAACTGTGTACGGGTGACCATTTCGGGCTACAATGGGGGGTGGGATATGTATGTTGATGAAGAAGTGAAGGTAAAGAACTACGTACAACATTTAAGTCAGACCTTAGCCGTGACTGATGATGACCGTAACTGTATTGGAGATACAGCTGTATCCGTCCCCCACAGACTCGCTATTCCTTTGAGCCTGGAGATGAGGCTCAAGACTTGGGAGACATGATTCCCCAGAAAGCCACCGAGAAGAAAATGGACTGGAACCTGTGTCAAGCAAACTTTCATTTCACATTTTGTAGGTGTTGGTGCCCTCCTGGGAAGATAACTGGGGACCTGTGGTAACTCTACAGACCGGGAAAGGTCTCCTTTAAAAACGAATGGAGCCCCGGCTGAAAACATGGAACTTCTGTCAACTGTACTAAAAACTGTTCTAGACGAATTGCAACGCCACTGCTAATGTGTCTTATGCCTTTAGTCTCATCAAATTGCCGGCAGGATGGTTTCTGATATGTGGAAGGACTGTTTATGCAACAGCGAAAAGATTTCTACATATTCTTATCTGCACTTATGTTGTGTTGGTTCATGCGTCTTTAATTGAACTAATCTTGTAGAAATAAGATGATTAAAATCTAACAGGGGGAATAATGAGGGAACTCAAAGAGTTAAAAGATTTTAGCTTCAGTCATAGTTGATAGCCCTAAGTGACTAACACCTGTGGAAAGCCCGTACTCCAGGAACTGGATTGCATGACCTCTCGGCTCCAGGAAAGCGACAAGCAATCCAATCTTGTGGCCCGCGGGGGCTGCAAGGCATGGAGACGGAGTCTGAGCCTCTGTGTTCCAGGTCGGCAATGCTGGTGATGCCGGTCAAGAACTGGCGATCGACAGATAAAGAAGTATTAGGAAAACTGACACAGGACTGTAATTCTTATCCAATTAACCTTTTTTCCAAACCCTTACCTACCCCTTCTTCTCTTACAAAAAGGTCAGCTTGAGATGAGAAGTTAAGATGGTTTTTGAGGGCACATAACCTGCCATCTTCTCGGATTGTCAGCATCTGAATAGACAGCCCATAAAGATGGAAAAAAAATCACTTTGCTCTGTTGAACAACCAAACTGAACCTGGGTGACAACAGATTCACAGGAGATGTTGGTGCACGGGAGGTTGGTAAACTTTTCAGAAATGAAGGCATTTCAGGACTCCATTTCCAGTGTCACCTCAGTTCCCAAGCTCAGTTAGGCTCTCCATGGCTGCCACCTCTGGAAGACTCTGGAAGGCTCCCTCGCCCAGGAGGTGGGCAGGACTGCTGGTGGCAGAAGGAGAGTCCCCTGCCTACACAAGCTGGCCTGCTGCTCCCACCATTTTTGTCCCTTTTACCTGAACCCACACCAAAGGCACACCTTCCTGGGAGAGGCCTCAGTTAGAGGAAGGGGTCCCCTCATCTCAGAGCTGTTCTGCTGAAGGAGAATCACCTGGGAGCTTAACAAAAGCCCAGGCTCCCTGGCCTCTGTCTGGTAAGTCCAATTCAGCGGTCTGGGGGACCCCACCAATGAGAAGAACCAAGTGGGCAGAGAAGCTGGGGATCTCGGCCACTGTGCAAAGGAAGGGACGTTAGCCAACAGGGGTAGCCTTTAGACACCTCGGCATCAGGGTAGCTGACTTTGCCGTGAAGCAGGGCTGTCTTAGTCTGCTTGGGCTGCTATCACAAAATACCATCTACTAGGTGACCTACACTATAAACATTCATTCTCACAGTTGTGGAGGCTGGAAGTCCACCATCAAGGTCCCTGGGGAGGACCCACTTCCTGGCTTGCAGATGGCTGCCTTTTTGCTGTGCCCTCCCATGGTAGAGAGAGGGGGCTACGGTCCCTTCCTCTTCTTACATGGGCACTAATGCCAGCATTGGGGCTCCACCCTCATGCTCTCCTCTAAACCTAATCGCCCCCCACGGGCCCCACCTCAGTAACATCACACTGTAGATTAGCGCTTCAACAAGTGAATCTGGGGAGGGACCCAAACTTTCAATCCGTAGCAAGGGGTCTGCACACAGGAGTGCGAGGCTTTCTGTTTGGCTACTCAGTGAACAGCCAAGGAAGGGAGCTTGGAGTCCAGTCCCTTCTCACCTCTGATCCCTAAGTCTCAGAGTTAGCCTCACGCTGGGTGGAGTGTTTGTTCTCAAATGCACCCAAGCAGAGGGCCAGAAAGCAAAGCAAATAGAGAGCTAAGTGATGCCAGACTAAGACAGGGTATTTATGGCCGGCTTTATGGGGTCCTGATAAGAAAGAACATAAAATAAAAGGCCGTCCCTTTCCTCACCAGCCCAAAATAAACTATTGACTATTCTAACAAACAGATGGAGATATGCTGTGCTTTACATCCTGGAAACATATAGCTCATACAATAAACCGTTGAAACCATTTAGGTCCTGGGTACCACAGTATAATCTTCAGCTCAATGAGGTAGCTACTATACCACTGTTATCCACATTTTGTACAGGAGGAAGCCAAGGTTCAGAGAAGCTAAGTAACTTGGCTCAAGGTCACACAGGTAGCAAAATACAGAGGAAAGGACTCAAACCCATGTTTAGCTGAGTCCGATGCCCATGCTTTAAACAATTATCTCCCTGTGTCGATTTAGAAATGTGGATACTTAAACCAAACTACTTGACCAGAAATAAATGACATCTTTTTAAATAAAGCTTTAGATGGTCTGAAGAATCTGTACAACCCCTCCTTAGGGGTGAGCTTAGAGGGACAAGGGGGAGTTAGGTAACTCTGAGAGCCTGACACATAGAAGAGACAGAACCTGGGGCCCAGACAGAAGTCAATGGTTAGGAATGCTACAAAACCAGACCAGTGCACAGGAAACCCTCATACACAACTGGCTACCGACGGCAGGACGCTGTGGAATTTTCACAGGGATTGTCATCCACCCCCTTCCCCTGCTGACTCCCGGATCCTGCCAGCTACATCTCCCCTCCCACCTGCATCTGCCCTTCCTGCAGCTCCCCTGCAGGGAGCAGATGCTGTGCACACCCAGTGCTGCCTTCCTGACCTCTGCCTGGGTGGCTGCACCTTTAGCAGGTCCCAAGTGGCCAAGCCCTCCCAGGAGAAAGCCTGCACTCACCTGCAGGCCACTGGACGGCAACCAGGCAGAGCTCAGAGGAAGGGCTTCCCTGGGACTTAACATGACCCATGCTCCATCCTCTCTAGTAAGTAGGGCTTCCCTTCAGCTCCCACAAAGAATTAATCCCAGGCTCACAGCCACTGGGAGGCCTCTTCTTTTGCAGAGAAGGAACCTAAGACCCAGGAAGTAGATCTGCCAAGGAAGAGGCAGATTCCAGAGTCAGCCTCTCCTGGGTTTCTCTCAGGACTCTTGTTAGTGGCTATGAGACCCCAGTCCAGCCTCTCAGGCCCTCAGGCTCCTCCTGAATTGAA